CATAGGTAAGTACACACACACACACACACGGGCTACCTGCCTATCAGTGTCCCTAACCTGCATACCATGCAAGTTGAAGGAGAAGATTGTGCGAAGAAAGCTAGTGGAGCATCTGGAGCGAAAAGGAACCTTGTAACACAGCATCAACATGGGTTCAGGGATGGCAGGTCCTGCCTCACAGGGTTAATTGAATTCAACGACCAGGCGACAAAAATCAGGCAAGAAAGTGAAGGGTGGGCAGACTGCATGTTTTTGGATTGTCAGAAAGCCTTTGATACAGTACCACACACGAGGCTAGTGAAAAGCTGGAGATGCAGGCTGGAGTGAAAGGGAAGGTATTCCACTGGATAAGGGAGTACCTAAGCAACAGAAGACAACGAGTCACTGTGAGGGGTGAGGTCTCAGATTGGCTAGACGTCACAAGTGGTATCCCGCAGGGGTCAGTTCTTGGACCTATACTGTTTCTGATACATGTAAATGATCTTCCAGAGGGTATAGAATCGTGTACCTGAATGTTTGCTGATGATGCAAAAATTATGAGAAGGATTGAAACAGAGGAGGATAGTAGGAGGCTACAAGATGACCTAGACAGACTGAATAAATGGTTCAACAAATGGCTACTAAAGTTCAACCCGAGTAAATGCAAAGTAATGAAACTAGGCGGTGGAAACAGGAGGCCAGGCACAGGATACAGAATAGGAGATGAAGTACTTCATGAAACCTACAGAGAGAAAGATCTAGGGGCTGATATCACACCAAACCTGTCTCCTGAAGCCCACATAAAAAAGAATTACGTCTGCGGCATATGCGAGGCTGGCTAACATCAGAACAGCATTCAGGAACCTGTGTAAGGAATCATTCAGAATCTTGTACACCACATATGTACGACCAATCCTGGAGAATGCGACCCCAGCATGGAACCCGTACCTTGTCAAGCACAAGACGAAGCTGGGAAAAGTTCAGAGGTATGCCACTAGACTAGTCCCAGAACTGAGAGGCATGAGTTACGAGGAAAGGCTGCGGGAAATGCCCCTTACGACACTGGGAGACATGATCACTACCTACAAAATCCTCAGGGGTCTTGACAGGGTAGACATGGATAAACTATTCAACACTGGAGGTACGCGAACAAGGGGCCACAGGTGGAAACAAACTGAGTACCCAAATGAGCCACAGGGACGTTAGAAAGAACTTTTTCAGTGTCAGAGTAGTTAACAGGTGGAATGCATTAGGCAGTGATGTTGTGGAGGCTGACTCCATACACAGTTTGAAATGTAGATATGATAGAGCCCAGTAGGCTCAGGAATCTGTACACCAGTTGATTGACGGTTGAGAGGCGGGACCAAAGAGCCAGAGCTCAACCCCCGCAAGCACAACTAGATGAGTACACACACAGGAAGCAGCCCGTAACAGCTGTCTAACTCCCAGGTACCTCTTTACTGCTAGGCAACAGGGGCATCAGGGTGAAAGAAACTCGTGATTAACAATGCACAAACAACAGGGCTCCATCAAGGAGTATATAATCTCCTCACACAACCAGACCATCACCAGAGAAATCTTAACAAGCAACACAAATTATCGACAGATACAACGACAACTGGAGACTCATCAGCGAGGCCCTACTCATCAAAACGTCAAAACCAGCAATCAACAGCCAATTAACACATAATTACATTCTACCCACTTCAAGATCCAGAACCAACACAAACAGTAGAAGCAAGAACATAGAACACGCAATGTCCTATTAATACTCTCTATGCCATTGATCCACTTGTTCATCTCAATCATGTTCTGTATCACCTCATCCCAAGCGAATATAGGCCTTGGCAGAGTATGGAAATTTTTTATCAATCACCCTAAATTGGATTCTAAGTCACATTGGCATAGATGGTAATGAAAAGGGAGGCTCACTAGCAAAAATTGTCACTTCTCTACCTGTTATACCGGTTAAAATAGCTCCAAATTTTTCTCAGATTAAGGAGCGAATCAAGAAGAAAATACTCTCAACCATCAAAAGTCGCGACTGATCCAAAGTAGCGGAAGGAAGATCCACTGCAATATGGTACGAACAAGCCACTGGGTACTACTCTTTCAAGCCTGACAAAAAAATATCCAGAGACATTGCAGTAGCTATATACAGACTCAGACTTGGTTACTAGTGTTATTGGGAGGTAATAAACCCAATAGTTAAAGTGTGTCATATCTGTGGAACAGAAGCAGAGGCGCCACTATTGCACTACTTAATTCAATGTGAAACAACTGAAGCCCTGCACATCAAACTCAACATTCATCCAACAAGAGCAGGTGCATTAGATGCAAATTCCACAGCGACTACAATGATTAGAAAAGCAGTTGAAAAACGGGACACACAAGTGAACATTCTGCATATACATCCGTCACTAAGATAATGATATTAAAACAAGACTAAAACCAGTGCGCTAAAACAGAAGCAAAAAAGAAACAGTGGAAAAGGAGGAAACCCCCCACCTCATTTAAAATTTTGACCCAAATACCACGGTAACAAGGTTCAACCTGTCCTCTTAAAAAGAACGTCGCTTTTGGCCGTTTGCCCGTATGGCCGAATTTGGACGTAATTTGAAAATGAAAAAAAAATGAAAATAAATTTGTTTTTTTTTCAACAACAGTAAGTTAAGGGTCCTCTGATAGGTTAGGTGGGCAGGAAATTCTCATAAAGTTTCAAAACGTTAATTTAAAGTGTCCTCTTATAACCTCTGCGCGTACGCCGGACGACTCAAATAGAAAACGGAACAGAACATCACTTTCGTGAGTCGATTTCATTTCAAATTACGTCCATATTTGACCGTAGCACGCATACGAGCGAAAAGTGACGTTATTTTTAAGAGGACGGGTTGCAAGGTTATCGTGAATAACCGAACTCAATTACGGGCTCACTATAGCCCTGTTACATGGACATTTCGTTTTGAATAGCTAAATCGAAAACATCATCATCATATAGAAAATTTGTCTTTGAAATTGTAAGGAGTGCTTTGCAAAACACTTCTTTAGGCGTCAGACCATAAATATAGTGTGAAAATGAACTTTGGAGAGTTAATTTTTCGACTTCCATCGACAGTGAAGAAAAACATAAGAAATATTGGGAAGATTCGTGTTAGAATCGTTAATCCTACCCTTTCGGTCATATTCATCAACATATATATACATTTAAATTTAAAGAGAAAATGTTTGGTGAAGCTTTTCGCAAGCCTCACCAACTTCACAGGGTGATGTATCTTTTTTTTTTTTTTTTGCAGGGACTTCCAGCGTGGGCCCTAAGCCTTTAGCTGGCCCACTAAATGCTATTTGTTTCATTTTTTTTTGTTTTACTTAGGCGGAGTATGAGTATTTATGACTTGCATGTTCGCTTCAGTAAGATTATGCCCAATGTGTTTAACAACTTCTGCTATGTTGAATCTAAGTTGAAATCTTATTGGGTTTGTAACTGTGCACTGTGTTAGATAATGTTCCAGTGGTCTGTCGGGCATGTCTCCACAGTGATGACATTTCCTCTTATCATCTGGAACCTGTAAACCTATTTCCCATGCACATGGGTATCCAAGCCTGATGCGATGTAAGTGTACTTCTGTTGTTCTACTGCTCCCATTCATCAATATGTCGGGAGATGGTGATAGGAGGGCGGAGGTCGAGCCCCAGCATCATCTCCCTCCCCCATATTCCACAGCTTTCACATCAATAGGCAAATCATACTAACTTCCGGTCTCGTCGAATGAAAGCCTTCATCCTCACTAAGATAACATGATTGAAGGAAGGTGGCGAAGGAGAGGGAAGGTGGCGAAGGAGAGGGAAGGTGGCGAAGGAGAGGGAAGGTGGCGAAGGAGAGGGAAGGTGGCGAAGGAGAGGGAAGGTGGCGAAGGAGAGGGAAGGTGGCGAAGGAGAGGGAAGGTGGCGAAGGAGAGGGAAGGTGGCGATGGAGTCTCTCAATGAGAATTCCCCAGGAAGATGTATGGGAGGAAATGGCCGCCAAGTTCACCTGATCTGATACCTTGTGGCATGTTTCCGTGGGGCGACGTCAAGGGACTGGTCTATGTCTCCCGCTCTTCCTGCGAGCCACGAGGGACCCAAGTAGCGTCTCTCTGCCGGACTGGAGACTATTACCGGTTACGTCTCAGTATCAGAAAAATACCGATTCTCACAAGATGAATAGGGTTTATTTTGCATATGAGGGGAATGATTGTATATTGGTCGCTTTGAGGGGAGGAGAGGAGCCATATCTGAGGCAGCCACGGAGCTCAGTAGCTGGTGGGGATTAGTGCTGGTAACATGTTAAGTCAATGTATATGTTTTGTTTGTGCTCTATTGATAATTTTAATATCTGAGGAGACAAATGTTTAATATGGCCACACTTGAAATAGGTTAGAGTTAGTATAAGAAATTGCCCAGTCAGAAATTTTGTTCTATTAATCTTAAGTTGTTTAAGTGTCGGGACAAAAAATCCACATGCCTTTGAATGTCTTTCGAATTTTGATGAATAAATCTTATTTTGCGCAACAATAAACCAGTTTAGTGTCATTTGCCAAGACTGTGTAATTACTCAGAATTACATAACTAATGATATCAAATATTTTAAAGCACCCTTTGGTTCTGACTCCAGTACATGACAATGTTAATAACAGAAGTGTTTTTGTTTAAATTTAAATTATATTTTGGAGGAGTTGAAAACTGTATTGAAAACAAATTAGAATTGAATAAAGGATTAATCTGCATTAATTAACGTTTTCTTTGTCGATCCGGCTGACAATGACAGACTCAACAGTTTTAGAGCCGCCACGCTATACGAGAGGAAAAACTTGCCATTTTCCATTTTCCTCTCACACACGGAATACCCTCCCTAAGAGGCCACATGGATGACCCTTTCCCAAATAGGGCACACACACGTAGGGCCACCTACACTGAGGACTCCATCCCGCCCTCATCCTGGTCTATCTGCCCCTCCCGAGACAGACCCCGAGCACTGTACTCACCCGCCTCACGGCCTCCCTTGATGGAGAAGCCAAAGCCTTGGCCGGATTTGGAGTCCCTGTGGAGGTTGAGGAGCCGGAAGCCGGGACCGGGGCAAGCCATCAACCCGGAGAGCAGCACCTGGACACATGGGTTACACTGAGAATTAGTCTTTCAACGATGTAATGATATTAGTTAATAGCCATGCTACATAATTAATAAGTAGTTCCAGCTCACTGATATACATATACAACCACTGTTATACTCTGTCATACTTAAGAGATGGGTGGATACATATAATTATCACCAATGCGTTAAAACACACACATGTATGCATATATATAAATAAATTTCAATAATTTATATCATTAATATATTAACGATGAAATATAAAACATGCAATTGAAGTGAAGTTGACATGCTTGCAAGGACAGTCTGTAGCAGACCAGTAGTTGAAATTATGAAGGCTGTTTAATTAGCACTGACAAAGAGAATACTTAAACGAATGTATAATGAAAATCTTAAGAGACCTAAAACGAAGACCGAAAGCTGTAGCATTTTAAACATTATGATGAATATTGTGAGGAAAGAGTTATATATGGAACTAATAGAGCAAGAACTCTGCAATGTGTTGTTAATAGTGGCCAGAATACGCCTGGGATATAGACGTATATGGCAGCTTTCTCAAAACCTAATGTCGAATACACCATGTGTCAACTTTGTGAAAGTGTCGAATGCGCCATGTGTCAACTTTGTGAAAGTGTTGAATGCACCATGTGTCAACTTTGTGAAAGTGTCGAATGCGCCATGTGTCAACTTTGTGAAAGTGTTGAATGCACCATGTGTCAACTTTGTGAAAGTGATGAATGAGCCATGTGTCAACTTTGTGAAAGTGTTGAATGCGCCATGTGTCAACTTTGTGAAAGTGATGAATGCGCCATGTGTCAACTTTGTGAAAGTGATGAATGAGCCATGTGTCAACTATGTGAAAGTGTTGAATACACCATGTGTCAACTTTGTGAAAGTGATGAATGAGCCATGTGTCAACTTTGTGAAAATGATGAATGCGCCATGTGTCAACTTTGTGAAAGTGTTGAATGCGCCATGTGTCAACTTTGTGAAAGTGTTGAATGCGCCATGTGTCAACTTTGTGAAAGTGATGAATGAGCCATGTGTCAACTTTGTGAAAGTGATGAATGAGCCATGTGTCAACTTTGTGAAAGTGATGAATGCGCCATGTGTCAACTTTGTGAAAGTGATGAATGAGCCATGTGTCAACTTTGTGAAAGTGATGAATGAGCCATGTGTCAACTTTGTGAAAGTGTTGAATGCACCATGTGTCAACTATGGGAAAGTGTTGAATACACCATGTGTCAACTTTGTGAAAGTGATGAATGCACCATGTGTCAACTATGTGAAAGAAAAAACCAGCACTCCCTTGAACACTATATTGTAAAATGTTCCATATTGACTGACTTTCGCCCCCCCCCCCCCTGGACTGAGGAGTGCTGAACTCTTTATATATACCCAGAATACTGGAAACCCCTGATGAAGTACTGCATTTGTACCCAAAGATTGTCTAAGTAATGCATCAGTTATCAAGTATATGTGTTGTAAGTAAAGCTTAATCTTATAAAAAAACAAGTCTAATATGGGCTCACCATAGCCCGTGCTACATTGAACTTTTGTTCCGAGTAGTTGAATCTAAAAACAACAGCAGTGGGTAAAAGCATCTGAATCACCCATAAATGATTAATACCACAAAAGTTTGAAAAGCTGCTATTTTACCTTGTCAAAGTTAGAGAGAGAAATGCGTGTGTGTGTGTGTGTGTGTGTGTGTGTGTGTGTGTGTGTGTGTGTATGTGTACTCCTGAATGTGTATACAGGGTATGTGTAAGTTGGTCTAAATTGTATTTCACATTTGTAAACGCACTTTATTCACATTATGTAAAAATACATACCATTCGTGTTTATGGAGGACATGCGTAAATCTATGAATTTATGAATGTAGATTAGAGTAGCCTTTTAAAAGCACTATAACCACGTTTTGTAGTTGATTGTTCAATAAATCACCGAACTGTATGTTTAACAGATCTCTAACCCTGTCCATGGAGGTAGTGTACCTTGTGTGTTGGGGTAGTGTACCTAGTGTGTTGGGGTAGTGTACCTTGTGTGTTGAGGGTAGTGTACCTCGTGTGTTGGGGTAGTGTACCTCGTGTGTTGAGGGTAGTGTACCTTGTGTGTTGGGGTAGTGTACCTAGTGTGTTGGGGTAGTGTACCTAGTGTGTTGGGGTAGTATACCTAGTGTGTTGAGGTAGTGTACCTAGTGTGTTGAGGTAGTGTACCTCGTGTGTTGAGGTAGTGTACCTAGTGTGTTGGGGTAGTGTACCTCGTGTGTTGGGGTAGTGTACCTCGTGTGTTGAGGTAGTGTACCTCGTGTGTTGAGGTAGTGTACCTAGTGTGTTGAGGTAGTGTACCTCGTGTGTTGAGGTAGTGTACCTCGTGTGTTGAGGTAGTGTACCTCGTGTGTTGAGGTAGTGTACCTAGTGTGTTGGGGTAGTGTACCTCGTGTGTTGAGGTAGTGTACCTCGTGTGTTGAGGTAGTGTACCTCGTGTGTTGAGGTAGTGTGCCTCGTGTGTTGGGGGTAGTGTACCTCGTGTGTTGGGGTAGTGTACCTCGTGTGTTGGGGTAGTGTACCTCGTGTGTTGGGGTAGTGTACCTCGTGTGTTGAGGTAGTGTACCTCGTGTGTTGAGGTAGTGTACCTCGTGTGTTGAGGTAGTGTACCTCGTGTGTTGAGGTAGTGTACCTAGTGTGTTGAGGTAGTGTACCTCGTGTGTTGAGGTAGTGTACCTAGTGTGTTGAGGTAGTGTACCTCGTGTGTTGACGTAGTGTACCTTGTGTGTTGAGTACACACATGGTACACCATCCCCTCACACGGTACACTCTCCACACACATGGTACACTCTCCCCACACATGGTACACTCTCCCCACACATGGTACACTCTCCCCACACATGGTACACTCTCCCCACACATGGTACACTGTCCCCACACATGGTACACTGTCCCCACACATGGTACACTGTTCCCACACCTGGTACACTCTCCCCACACCTGGTACACTCTCCCCACACATGGTACACTCTCCCCACACATGGTACACTCTCCCCACACATGGTACACTGTTCCCACACATGGTGCACCCTCCCCACACATGGTACACCCTCCCCACACATGGTGCACCCTCCCCACATATGGTACACCCTCCCCACACATGGTGCACCCTCCCCACACATGGTACACCCTCCCCACACATGGTACACTCAGTGTACCAACGCAATGTTTTAACCCTATCACAACTTTGCTTTACTCTCTTTCAGTAAATAAATAAACAGTCCATTAAGCGGCCGGATCAGACCTTGCAGGAGAATTGAATGTTTGAATACACAAAGTACACACCCTCACTGTGCATGTACTCACCCCTCACTGTACATGTACACACCCTCACTGTGCGTGTACACACCCTCACTGTGCATGTACTCACCCCTCACTGTACATGTACACACCCTCACTGTGCGTGTACACACCCTCACTGTGCATGTACACACTCTCACTGTACATGTACACATGGGGCATATAGAGACAAGACTTGTGCATTTGAAGGCATCATGCCAGAACTTCCAGAACTTATTACAAAGCCTAGGAGAGGGGATGTACTCCTAAACGGAGCACCTGGCACCAGCAAGAATTATAGAGGGCAGAAGGGGCCTACTATCAGAGGTGATTTTCACAACTCGAAGGGGCAGACGACAACGACCACGAGGGGGTCGAGTGAACGTGTCCACCTGGAGGACAAGATGGCCTTGGGCTACGAGGATATGTTGAATATCCTCATGGCACTCTCTTAGGTCCCTAACACCAGTTGCAACATGGTGCGGAAGGAGAACAGTGCCAACATTGGCATTTAACAGAGCGTTTTTGGAGACCCGAACAAGGGTCTCCCTAATGCAGGACAATGTGGCTAAGCGGGTAGCTGCATCCTGAGAAGGAGCAGAGACACGTGTGTACTGAAACGGGTGGGGGTTAAAAGTAACAGAGGCATTCTCTGATTCAACAAGTTGTTTATGGAGGGAGAAATCGTCAGGTGGTGTAGACTCCAGATGGTGAAGATCAATGTATTTAGCCCACGAAGCAGGACCAAACAAGGTGTGGTACATACTAGTATGGGAAGGGATCGTGCGAATGCAGCCGTAGTTGGGACGGCATTGAGAACCCTCAGAGAACGGTTAAAAGGCTCAGTAGTCACAATGAGAAACCGAACCATGCCAGGAGACGAGGTGGTCACCACTTGGTTCTTGGAGCTCGACCCAACCACAGAGGAGGGAGGGGAGCCGAGGGGAGCCGAGGGGAGTAGTCAGGAAGGTCAAAGGAAGAACTAGGTCTGGGCCTAATGCAGAAGGGGGCTACAGAGCCCGGTCTTCCAACACAGTCAGACTAGAGGGGCTCGGTCGCCCAACCCACGCACCAGAGAAGTCATAAGAGGAACAGTATTTAGAGACATGAAAACGAGAGGAAATACTTTCATTCACAAATGTGCCCCTGTAGCCACCACGGAGCCACAATTAGAGGATACGACACCCAACAAGAGACAGGTCCTGCCGGGGACTCCCAGGGGTGCATTGTGAGTATGCGCCCTACAATCGTCACCTTAAGAACCGTCAGTCCGTCGAGATCGGACTGACGGTCCAAAGGTCCAATCCGACGAAAGGAGGATTGACAATAAAAGCGTCCTCTCGTTCTCGACGTTGGGTACCACAGGTCTACGGGTGAAAGTGTGTGCCTCCCCAAACACCCGGGCATCAAAACAGAAGATGTCCATACGAATAATCGAGACTGGCAAAAGGTTGGCGGGAAATGACAATTAGACAGAAGAGGAGGGGGTGGAGAAAAATGAAACATAAGGAAAAGATATCCAGCAGAATTCGAAAAGACAGCAGCAAGCCTTATGGAAGCCTTTTCCATAAGGCCTCAGAAGGATAGAGGATTGTCCCATGAAGCATCACACTCTGGCAGCTGCTCACCAAGCCCCCCTCACGACGACAACGGGCCGAAAAGGGAGGGGGACAACCAGGGTAAAACAGTGGTCAATGGACTACTCCATTGGTCAAAGGAATGAAGGCAATGAAATGACTAACATGCCAGGTAAGATCTGATATTCCCTCTCAGTGAGTCACACAAAAGGAGAGTAATTTTTGAATCGTCTTTGAAAATGAGCGATCACTGTGTATTGACATGTGAGTATCTTTTAGAAGTAGGGATGAACTTCTTAGGAAAGTGGCCAGGAGACAAAAGGTTGGCATATCATAGGAAAAAGTATGAAAAAAAATGAGAGAGTCAAAGTTATAATGGAAGCTAGAACTCATGGGGAAGTCCTCATTGGGAATAATAGTCAGCTTCAACAAGAAATGCTGGGAAGCAGCTGGAAAATTTGTCCCTCTTTAGAGAAATGACAAGCAAAAGACAATCCCATGGATTAGCCATGGATTTATAGAAGCAGGGGACATAAGCACTAAGGCAAGAACAAAAGAACAGCAGAGAGGGCTCCCAGGGCAAGGAATGAGTACCTCATAGTGAAAAAGAAAGTAGTTTGGAAATTAAACTGTAGCCAAAGTAAAGATCCAACTCAAATTACTTCACAGCAACATCAAGAGGAAAATAACAGTTACGAAACAAGTGATGAACCTGAGGATAGAACAGGACTCTTTGACCATGATCGACAGAGAAGAGTGTGAAGAATTTAATAGGAGGTTCCAGAAGGTCTTCACCATAGAGCAATGAGGATTTTTAAACTAAGATGGAGTCAAACTAATATTGGAGGACTTTCAGATAATCCTTTCATCTGATGCAGCTAGTCGAGGCTACGGCTGTGAGACCAAATAAGATATCACCAGGATACTAAGAGAGCAAAACCCTTGTGATGACAACTTACTATAATATATAAAAAGTCACTGGAAACAGGACAAATGCCAGACAGTTGTAAGAGGGCAAATGTTGTGCCAAGATACAAAAACAAACAGGCAACAACAGGATACATCCCGTTAGTGTAATCCCTAAGAATAGGGATTACACTATCGGCATGTGTCCTCTACTTGCTTATCATGCAATGTGATGGAAAATATCCATAAGAGGCCATATAACATTTGGGGAGAATGGACTTCATAAAACAACACCAGGATAGTTCAGAAATGGTAAATCCTGTCACAAACTTGATAGCGTTTTACGAACGAGAGGCTGAGATCAGACAAGATAGTGAAGGATGAGCAGATTATGTATTTTTTTACAGTAAAAAAAACTTCACGGGAGATTAGTGCCCAAGAGAAGAAATGGCCAGGAGTGACTAAGAATGTGCAACAGTGGACAAGGGAGAACTTCTGCAAACAGAAGATAAAGTCTTCTTTAAAATAGAGGGAGAGTGGCATGCGTGGCGAGGGAGAGTGGCATGCGTGGCGAGGGAGAGTGGCATGCGTGGCGAGGGAGAGTGGCATGCGTGGCGAGGGAGAGTGGCATGCGTGGCGAGGGAGAGTGGCATGCGTGGCGAGGGAGAGTGGCATGCGTGGCGAGGGAGAGGAGCATGCGTGGCGAGGGAGAGGAGCATGCGTGGCGAGGGAGAGTAGCATGCGTGGCGAGAGAGAGTAGCATGCGTGGCGAGAGAGAGTAGCATGCGTGGCGAGAGAGAGTAGCATGCGTGGCGAGAGAGAGTAGCATGCGTGGCGAGAGAGAGTAGCATGCGTGGCGAGAGAGAGTTGCATGCGTGGCGAGAGAGAGTAGCATGCGTGGCGAGAGAGAGTAGCATGCGTGGCGAGGGAGAGTAGCATGCGTGGCGAGGGAGAGTAGCATGCGTGGCGAGGGAGAGTAGCATGCGTGGCGAGGGAGAGTAGCATGCGTGGCGAGGGAGAGTAGCATGCGTGGCGAGGGAGAGTAGCATGCGTGGCGAGGGAGAGTAGCATGCGTGGCGAGGGAGAGTAGCATGCGTGGCGAGGGAGAGTAGCATGCGTGGCGAGGGAGAGTAGCATGCGTGGCGAGGGAGAGTAGCATGCGTGGCGAGGGAGAGTAGCATGCGTGGCGAGGGAGAGTAGCATGCGTGGCGAGGGAGAGTAGCATGCGTGGCGAGGGAGAGTAGCATGCGTGGCGAGGGAGAGTAGCATGCGTGGCGAGGGAGAGTAGCATGCGTGGCGAGGGAGAGTAGCATGCGTGGCGAGGGAGAGTAGCATGCGTGGCGAGGGAGAGTAGCATGCGTGGCGAGGGAGAGTAGCATGCGTGGCGAGGGAGAGTAGCATGCGTGGCGAGGGAGAGTAGCATGCGTGGCGAGGGAGAGTAGCATGCGTGGCGAGGGAGAGTAGCATGCGTGGCGAGGGAGAGTAGCATGCGTGGCGAGGGAGAGTAGCATGCGTGGCGAGGGAGAGTAGCATGCGTGGCGAGGGAGAGTAGCATGCGTGGCGAGGGAGAGTAGCATGCGTGGCGAGGGAGAGTAGCATGCGTGGCGAGGGAGAGTAGCATGCGTGGCGAGGGAGAGTAGCATGCGTGGCGAGGGAGAGTAGCATGCGTGGCGAGGGAGAGTAGCATGCGTGGCGAGTGTGTGTGTACTCTGTGTCAATAAGAGAGTTAAGAGTGTAAGCATAATGTGCAAGAGGCAACAGCCGTCTGGCGCCAGCTTCTATTTTGACTCGTACCTTTGACTTGTGGTTCTTGACCTTCTTGCTGAGTTTGTGAAGGTGGTGCTGGTGGTGCTTGTGGTGGTCAGCGTGGCGGGGCGGCGGCGGCTGGGGCGGCTGCGGGGCGCCCTCCTGGATGGGGATGAAGCCAAGCTGGCGGGATAGTCGGGAGGCGTTGTCGGGACCGACCAGGCGAGGGGCACCGCCTACTATCCCTCCTACCAGAGGCACTGGTGGTCCCTGAGGGCTGGCAGGGGGAGGCGGGGACCCTGGAGGCTCATTGGGTGGCACAGGTGAGGGCGGCGGGTCCCTGAGTGAGGCAGTGACGGGCTGTGGGGGCGGGGGGTCCTCCTCGTCATCAGGGTTGTCGTACATGATGTAGGACTCCTGCAGCCCCAGGTGGATGCTGCGCAGCGCCGCCTCCACGCTGGACACCAGCGCAGCCAGGCGCTCCTCGTCCTCCGCCGCCAGCTGGGGTCGCGGGGAGGCGTTGGGAGGTCCGCGGGGCAGCGTGGTGAAGTCCTGCTGCATAACGTACACGGGGTAGTGGACGGCTCCGGGGTCCTGCGTCCACACCGCGCTGCTGGCCGTTGTGTACGCCGTCTGTGACGACAGTCCTGCTACCGTCATGGCAGACACAGCGTCCTCGCTGGTCGCCGCCATGTTGGTGGCGCCATTAAATAGCGCGGTGGGGTTGTGTAGCGGCTGCTGGGGGTTGTGGCCAGGGTTGTCTACCGCCAGGTTGGTGAGGCTGTGGTGGAGGCCAGAAACCTGTACAGGGGCACCACCCCACAGCCCCAGCCGCCCCCGCCCGTCGTCGGCAGTGCTAGTGAAGGCAGGGAAGGGGTCGTGTTGAGTGCAGGGCGACATCCCGGGGTTGTGTGCGGGGATAGGCCGGGGGATGATCAGGACTGGGGGATCGACGAGAGAGTCTTCCTGGATGGATGGGGCGGAGCGACTGCGGGTGGAGGACGCAGGCGGCCATGCAGAAGGCAGCGCCCCCCGTAGGGCTGGCGGTGGGGGTGGTGGGACGTCGGTGAGGCCCAACTGATAGAGCTCCCGCTCGATGTCATCGTTGTCGGGGTCGTGGAGGTGCGTCATGCTGCTTACTACCTGCCCCCCGCCGCGCCCCCCCGCCACATGGTTGCCTGGCGGGGGGGCTCACCTCTTGCCCACGCCCGCACCGCCTCACCGCACGGCTGCGCCTCCTCACCGCACGCCTTCGGCTGCGGATGTCAGCTCGTGGGCCGCCCGCCGTCACCACGTCACCAACACCAGCACATCAGCACCCGTGACCTGTAATGTGAAAAAGACAGGCATTACAATTATTGCATAGTGCCAGGTGTATTGAATGTGTGTGTTCATATTTATATGTGCATACATTTATGCTTGCATATATATGAGCAAAGTTGTGTGTATACATATGAATGAAGCCTTTCGTGTCAAGTATACAACCTAAGTTCTCAGTGGTCAGGTGTATCGAAGGTTGCAACATATTTAACAGTCGTCGGGCTTTTAGCATCAAGCAGGCAAACATATTTTCTCGTGTAATTGACCATTGTGTGTGTATTAGTGCAACTGATTAAAGAAATTGGCAAGGAAGGAAAAAACTGTACACTTCTGGAATATACCACTGTTACGACTGGTATATTGATGAGGGACAATGGCCAGTGGCGAGGGACAATGGCCAGTGGTGAGGGACAAGCAGGCATCAACTTTAACAATAGGAAAAATATAATATATGTTATACTAGATGTTAATGGAGGGAGCATATACATTAACCAAAGAATGGTATCAAGAAACAAAAATTCTAGTATCCATTACCAGTTTCATCCATCTCGCTATTTAGGACATCAATAAAGGCATTCTCTTCGTCACTCAAGTGGTCATCCTTGACATCCAGAGAACAACCAACAACTTGTTCCATCACCTCGTCAAGCTCAGTACCATCAGCAGCAGCATAGCTCAGGATAATTACAATGCCTATGCCATGGATCTCCTGATGTACATTGTCCGGGACTACCTCACATTCACCAGAACAGACCTCTTCTGGCACCGTCCAGGACTGCCTTAATTATACCGCCCTGAACTATGCCACATGCATGCACTCTTCTGTACTCCTGCACTCCCTCTGGGAGAGACTGCCCGAGTCTTTACACTGTTTTGGGTTGTGTCATCCACACTGCCTTGTACTGCAGCACATGCCTCAGTATGTACCGAATCAGATCCACAGTCCCTAGGTCATGGAGGGAAGTTAGCTTCATGAAAAATGTTAATATGCTATTTTGCCTCTACTGGAGACGAAGAGCATAGAGAATAGCATAAAGCTCTGCTGTGAAGATGCTAATCTCCGGAGGTAAGCAACACATATAAGTGCAATCAAGGAAAAACAACAGATTAGTCAACACCCTCCGCAGACTTAGACCAATCGGTGAAGACGGAAACGGAGCGGGAGTGAGAAGAAAAGTGCTCAAGGAAAAGGCGTTTTAGAACTGTAGGAGAGGTAAAAGCTTTAGTGATGCGGGTCAAGGATGTACAAAACTACAGAAGGGGGGCTCTCCACGGGGGCAAAGAAGGAACAACACGAGGAGAAATATTAGAAATGCGAACGGAAAGAGAATCCTGTAAGCGAGATAACCGGACAGATAGAAGGTGGTGGTGAAGAGGAACAGGAACCGCAAGAGGGGTAAATGTTAAAGCACGACAGAGGCAAGAGGAAGGATGTTGCAAGGACCACGCAAGATAGCAAAGACAGTAGTGATCACGGCGGTCCTGGAAAGACAGGAAGCCAGTGTCAACATACGAGCTGAGGACGGGAGCCGAACGAAAGGCACCAGAACTGAGGCGCAACCCAGTATGATGCAAAGCATCAAGACGGCGAAGAGTGGAAGGAGAAGCAGACGAGTAAGCAGGGCAACCTAATCGAGCTTAGACAGGATGAAAGAGGAATGTAACGAGAAAGTAACGTAACGAGAATGTAACGTAAAGCGAGAAGAGTGCACCTATCCGCTCCCCAAAAAGTATGGGACAATACCCGAAGGAGGGCAAGAGCCTTAGAGCACTCAACACGGAGGTAAGAAATATGGGGAGACCAAGACAAACGAGTGTCAAAGAATAACCCCAAAAGCTTCGTGGAATCTTTGTACTCAAGGGGATGACCATAAAGTGACAGTGACGAAGAACGACCCGTTTCCGAGTAAAAGTCATGGCACAAGTCTTAGTAGTAGAGAACTTGAAGCCCTGATCGGTGGTCCAAGACGACTCGGCATCAATCGCAAGTTGAAGCCGGCGTTGAAGGAGAGGTGAATCATCACCCTGACAGCAAAGGGTAAGATCATCTCCATGTGTGTACTCGGAGAAGACGCCTGAAGGAAGAGAGGAAAAGACCATTGAGG